GAAAGAGAGAGTGAGGCAGGGGTGGGAGTTGGGAGAGAGAGAAACTGCATTCCCAGTAGGGTCTTAATGACACAATTCCCTTCCAGCCTCAGTCAGCCTCAGATCATGAGTAAATAAGTGTGTACCCAGGGTACTCAGGGAGGTCTCTAGATGTGAATCCAGAACCTTTGTATATGGGCCAGACTCATAGAAAATTGCCTTTCACTGCTATGCAACTCTCCATCCAACTGCCTGAAAATCTCTTTAATTTAAATAAGCATTCTGAAAAAAAGCATTGTTCCTTATTTTATGAAACAGAATTCTTCATTTTGCTAAAACTTTAGTGGTACTGCTATAGTAAGCGGTATGTAAAGCTCTGATATTTGGGGAGCATGAATACTTTCTAGGCAAAGTGGGGTATAAATAATTAAATACTTCTTTAGGAAGAACATGAAATTGTTCAAAATTATTCAAAATACAATATGAAATCTCAAAGATGACTCAGTCAAGATGATACACTCCGGATACATGTGTATGCATACCCAAGAACCTGGGCGAAGAATGGATTGTGCTGTGGCCATTCCTCCTGGCCTTTGTCTCCCTTCTGGTGAGCATATGTACCCTAAGACAAAAACTTCTTAAAAAAATAGTAAAGGAAAAGAATAATTCATATGACATAGGTATAGATACACAACAAGGCTATATAATTATAAAATTTGTCTGAAAAAACAATGATTAAAATTCATTACATAATAAAATTTTTTTAGAAGTTTTTGCCTTTGGGCATGTACACTCCCAGGAGAAAGAGAGAGAGACAGAGACAGTGAGAGGGAAAGTGAGAAATCACCCTCCCAGGGGACATGGCCATACCGCCATCCCTTTTCCTTCATTCTCCTCCTGGGATCTTGGGCATGCACACACACACACCCAGCATGATTTTCAAGTCACTGGGTCCAGGACTCAAACCTCTGTTGGCCATGTGGGAGTCCAGCAATGTAAGCACTACATCATTTTCTGGCCCCTACATATTAATTTCTTAAATGATAAGATACAGTTTAAACTATTTTAAAGATCTAGAACTAGATGAACAAATAATAAGTGTTTATGTTACACAGGATTTTTACTTGTTTCTAGTGAGAAATTGGACATAAACCACATGTTGCAAAACTATGCTATGAATCACGAAAATCGTAAACGGTACCAAATCATTGTGGGTAACACAAACTGTATCGAATTGTGTGAACACCAGGTCCGTTCAGACCATATGTTACAAGATTAGAGCACAAACTGATAGGACTTTAACTCCTGGTGGACTCAGGTTACAGACAATATTGCAACTTGCCCAGTTAACAAATTCTACCAATACATGCCTAGATTTTATTTATTGACCTCTGCCCTAACCCAACCCTCTGTCACAGCCCCAATACTCGACATGTTCACTTCCCTAAATTACTCCTTTGAGACGCTAGCATCTTCCTTAAGGTGCTATTCTCCCTTGGTTAGCAGGCAGTGTAAGTCTAGCTTGAGTTTTCCTGGTGGTCATTGCACAACAGCTCTCAAAGTTGGACTGATTAGTTTAATTCATAATTCACATGGCCTGCCACAGTGGTGTAGTGGTAATGCAAAGCATAGATGTTGAGACCATGTGGGACGGTCATGGGTTCTTATCCTAAGATCTCCCTGTGCTTGCTGCATTCATGTCTGCCTGTGATCCTGTCTGGCTTGAAGCTCAGGGTGGGATTGTGGTACGGAGACCCTGTTGGGGGATGCCTGTTTTTCTTTCTCTCATAAAATAAATAAATAAACTTAAAAAGATGGTGTTTAGGACTGGCCCTTCAGCATAGTGCTTAAGTACTATGCATGGAAAGCCAGATTTCACATGGTGAACAGTGGTTCAAATTCTGGTTCGAGAGGCTTGAAAACATGCTGGGTGCATGTGCCTATAGGCCCCAAATCCTGATGGGATGGAGAATTGAAGGAAGAAAGATTGACCATGCCTCATTGGTGGGTTCTTTCTTTATCAGATGAGTGTGCATGCCCTCTGGTAATAAATAAAAATATAAATAATTCTTTAAAAAGTGTTTTAATTTCATAATACTTGTCAGGCCAGTAGTCACTCAATTACTCAGTAGTACAGAACAGGGGAAGTAAAAGGAAAAAAAAAAGTATGTTTAACTGACAAAAAAAAAAACAACCTATTAGCTGCTGCTGATGTGTATAGTAATGTCTTTGTCTTGACTGATATGTATGGTAATCGTGTTGAAAAAGAAATGTTATACACTATAAAGATATATGTGATTCAATATAATATAAAAAGAAATAAAAAGAAATTCCAGCGAAGTGAATTCAATAAATAAAACACTGAAGAAACACTTGGAATGGTAACATTTCCCTGTCATAATTACCTTTGCCTCTTTTTTTCTATATATGCAAGTGAACTAGTTACAGGGGAATTCCAAGGTAAGGATGTAAGTAATAAGGGCAAAATAGAATTAAGAAACATCTTAGTGTAAACCAGAAGTAATTTTTGCATTTTTATAATTCCAAGAAAAGAGTCAGTGACATTTTTAAGTTATGATGCGGTCAATACATCATCTTAGTACATATATAAAACTCCTACAGACTCTCTTATGAATGAGCCCCTTCTGTTTGACGAACTGTATTGAAGCTTCCCACCTTTCCTAAAATAAGAATCAAAGGTAAAATGAACAAAAGTTGAAGTTAAAATGTTCAGACTTTCAGTTTTTCTTTTTTCCTGTGACAAAAGGAGTAAACATATTTAAACGCATCATATGGCATCAACATGTAGATAGATGTTCCTGTTTTCAATTCACCTGTATCAAATGACTTCAAGAAAACCTGTTACAGGTTTTATGAACTTTTATAACTGGAGATAAATCTCCGAGAAGAATATTACTCACAAACACCTTTACTCTTATCACTATCATCTTTCCTTCTGCCCACAGTTTGGTTTGGATTGGAAAATACATTTTGCTACATTGTGAATGCACTTAGAACCTACAGTTCAGCAATGGAACCTGAACTTGAACTTTTTTAATGTTTGAGTTTATTTGTACTTGGTAAAATACAACTTCTTGTTTTAAGAAAAAGGATTTAGAGGATGTATAAAACAGATTCAGAAAGCTTCTTAGACATCAAATAACATTTTGATGATTTAAGTGTAAATGTATCCTGTCCCACTCCTGTCCCACAAGTATCCAAATAATAACAACGCTAATAATAACGATCACAGTAACAACCTCAGAATAAAAATTACTTGTGTAGCGT